CTCTTCCTCTTCCTCTTCCTCTTCCTCTTCCTCTTCCTCTTCCTCTTTTGTGTCTTTCTTGCCACAGTTGGGAGTTGGAGGATCAGACATTCTTTTGCTCACCCAGATCTGGTGACATGGAGGAAAACTGAACTCTACCACTTGCTATCTTGCTGGAGTTAAGCAGAGGCTCATTTTCCCTGTAGACACCATTGAGCTTAGTGGCTTCCTTGATTCTGCATCCAGTGGGCCATGGACATCATCTGGCTTGGAAGCTGGGATCTCTCTTGGTGGGAGAGATTGTCCCATTCTGTAAGACTTGTGGCTCACCAATTGCTGCTTTGGTCAAGGAAGCATGGCACCAATACTGGATTCTGAGTGTATTAGCACCACCCTTGGGTCTGGTTCCCTTATGTTTCAAATAGTGCCAGCCAGGGTTTTTGTAGGGTATTACAATGAATCATGGAATCATTTCGGTTGGAAAACACCTTACAGATCACCTGGTCCAACCCTCAGCCCATCCCCACCATGTCCACCAACCATGTCCTTTGTGTCACATCCACACAGTTCTGGAACATCTCCAGGTGACTCCACCACCTGCCAGGGCAGCATCGTTCTTTCTAATGCAAAGATTCTGGAGAGTGAAGATCTGCTACAAAAGCTGAAAATATTCTTGAAATCCTTTGAACTTTGTTCCCTGGGTCACAGTCATTCACCTTGCATTTTCTTGCTTCGCAGCTTCAGGTTGGCTCTCCAGCAAAGAGCTGGGGCAGCAGCTAGATCTATCTCCTTGCTGACTCAGGAGGATCTGGGGAGACTGTTAGAATTTCATGGGTGATCTCTCATGGTTACAGGATTGGCACTGCTCTTTGTCATCCCCAGTGAGAAGGGGAAGTGAAGAAGCCAACAACCACATGCATCTGAGAAGGAAAGCAAGTTAGAAAATGGAAGAATTTGTGGGAACATTCTGTAACCTGTTGTGTGATTAGAATCTGTATGTGTTCCAGTGCATGAGCAACAAGAAGTGAATGACTGTGAAATAGTCCTCATATTTGAAAAGACCTCATATTTGCCTTCAGGAGCAGTTCAACAGAGTCAAGGAAGCTCAGCCTGGTCATCTTGGTGAGAGCCCACAGAGATGGAGATGTTGTAAGGACCCCATCTTTAGGGTAAGAATCCTAGGTAGGTTCAAGCTGGCATGACTTGCTCTGCAGAGTGCTCTTCTGAACCTAATGTCCTCCATCCTCAGGATGCTCCTGATTTCTTGCACGCCCTTCTCCACATTGAGGAGGCTCTTTTTGCAGTATTTTGACCCCATTATCCTGGGCCAGATTGTTGCAATGCACAGTGTGGGGTCCCCACCGAACTCCATGATGGGGATCAGGGACATGTTGGGGATATGGATACTACAAGCGTGTCAGTGGTGGCGGGGGAAAGGAAGAGGAGCCCAGCCTTGGGTTGCACTACTTCACATCCTTCCCTGTGCCCAGCAAATCCAGTACCCTGGGGTTAAGCTCTCTATCCCCACTGGGGGAAAGCAGTGAATGCTGAGTTGGAGTGGGGGGCTGCAGCATCCCCTCCTCACCAGTCCTGACTGTGTCCTGGCTCTGAGCAATGCTTGGCTCCACCTTCCACCCTTCCCTCCCCCGGTGCTAAGCAGCAAAGCCAGCAAGAGGCATCCAGCCGGGGCATTAGTAAAAACCAAGCCTCCCTCCAGGAATGGCACTTGCCTGAGCACCTCCCCGGCAGCACGCCCCACAGCCGGAGGGAGAACAGGGGGGCACTGGGACAAGAGCTGCAGCCTTCACAGGGTTTGCTGCCCGCACCAGCCAGCAACGTAAGTTTTCCTACCTGAGCTCACTGGCATGCACATTTATTTTTTGTACTTTCTGCCACTTTTTCAGTTTCCTCAGCGAAGATTCATGTCATCCCTTGAAAGTGGAGTGACAGCAGCCTTTGCTCCGCATTGACTTTTGCAGCTAAACAAGAGGCATGCTTTTTTGTAACTTCCTATTTTTTCTTTCTTTCTTTCTTTCCTCCTTTTAACTTCTGTCTAGGGGAGAGATGTTGTGGGGAAGGAGGGGCTTTATTTTTAGAGCTTTTTTTTTTTCAAATCAGGGGACAGTGATGCTGTGGCAGGGACTTACAGAGGTGACTGCAGACAGTGAGAGAGGAGGGGTGCACAGGGTGGGCAGCTCAGGTCCTGGGCTTCTCTTCAAGTTGAACTATGTGTGTGTTTGCATCTGGATATGAAGGTGCATATGTATATATGTACATATACATATACAAGGATGTGTTTGGGGACACGAAGCAGATGTGATTTAGGTCTTTGCTCCAAGAGCAGCAAGCACTGGCGTGTCACGCTGGCACTTTCTCCTACTGCTTCTGGGGCTCTGGAGGTGGCTAGGAAATGGGAGATCTGTCCCTTTGGTTCATCCCCCATGGAGATCTGCAAGCAGGCAGGATCTCTGCGAGGTCCCCAGAACCCCCTGTCCTGCATGGTTAGAGCGGTTGCAGGCATGGGTTGATGGTTGGACTGGATGATCTTAGTGGTCACTCCAACCTTTATGATTCTATGATTCTATGATTTTTTGGCACGGCTGGGCAGCTGCCACCGTCCCCTCTGCACATGCCAGTTCGGGACATTTGCAGAGATAAGAGCTCCCGATGGATCAGGGCCCTGACCCATCCCCACCCCCATCGATCACGGGTTTTGCGGTGTGCACGGCTATTGCTTTGCTTGCGCTTTTATCAAGCAGCCCCTGTCTCGTGGTCTGCTCTTCGCAGTGTGGAGTCCCAGTCGGATTTGGTGGCTGCTTTTCCTTTTCTCTATTTTCCTTTTTCTTTTTTCCTTCCTTTCCTTTGTTTTTCTCTTCCTCCCTTCCCTCCCCAGTGAGAAGAAGGAAGCGACCATGGCTGATGACCAAGACCTGTCGGAGGTGGAGATGAGCCCAGTGGGTTCTGAAGACCATCACTGCCTCTCGCCGGGACCATCCATGGCTTCGGACAACTCTCCACACCTCACCGGCTCTGGAAATGGGGAGATGGGCAAGGTCAAGAAGGAGCAGCAAGACTCGGAGGCGGATGACGACAAGTTCCCTGTCTGCATCCGTGAGGCGGTCAGCCAGGTGCTGAGCGGCTATGACTGGACCCTGGTACCCATGCCTGTTCGGGTCAATGGAAGTAACAAGAGCAAACCCCACGTCAAGAGGCCCATGAACGCCTTCATGGTCTGGGCGCAGGCTGCCCGGAGGAAATTGGCTGACCAGTATCCGCACCTCCACAATGCTGAGCTCAGTAAGACCTTGGGGAAGCTCTGGAGGTAAGAGAGGGTGTGTGAGGGTGTCCTGGTGATGAGGAGAAAAGATGGGGATGGGGAGGGAGGAGGGGGTGTCTCTTGTGCCACTGCTTCTTTACTGGAAGATGCCCACAGGAGGCACAGCCAGCAGCGAGGAGAATGGGGAAGAGTACCCTGTATATGTAGTGAAAGCTTCCTCAGCAGAGCTCACCTCCATCCCAAATGGAGCTCACACTTTTCTTTTTCACCTGTTTCCCTCTGATTTTCCCTGTTGTTTCTGATCATGACACTTATCCTGGTCCTCTCGTACTTGATGGTCAGGGGAAATCTTGTCTCCTTGGCTCACCCTCTGCTGGGCAAACTTATGCATGAACAGAATCTGGTCTGAGCCCCATCAACCATAATTCACCTGTGGCTGCCCCAGGATCATTTGACCTTGGGTCCCATGCTAGCAGGGGAAACTTTTGAGCAGTGCCAGTCTCCCATCTGATCCTCCCTCCCATCCTTCCCAAGGTGGTCCTGGTATTGGCAGGCTGCGCAAGTGCAGTGAGGCTATCAGAGGGGAAAGATAGGCAAG